AATGTTTAATAAACTTTAGTGCATAATAAATAAAGATAATTTATATACATATATGTATATTCTCTTTTACATTGCTGAAATATAAAATTTATAAGCGTTTAAAAAATTGATAGATTCCAAAAGATTGATGGGTAAATATTTTGTTAGTTATGTTTAACAAAATTTATATATTTTTGCTTAAAATAAAATATACACGATTTAAAAGCACAACCCTCCATAATGTACAAAATATGTCGTTCCAATTTATACGTGATATAGAGCATAACAGTTCAATTGTTGTAAACAAACAAGTTAGCTCAATCACACTGACACGGTCAGCCCTATTATTTTGCAATCTATTTATACACGTTCAAATTGCTTGTGATATATACCAGGAGATATACGATATATTTTAACGAGTTTCAAAATTTTTAAACATATTGTTAACAGGCAATCGGTGTTTTAATATGATGTATATTCAATTATTGTTCGAGATAACACTAGAGGAGTGGTAAAATAAATTTTTTTAGTTTATTTTGTAAAAATGAACATCGACCATCGTATAGTGGATTTTTGGAAGTATTTATTTAACCCTGCGTTAGTCACGGGCGAACTCTAGCTCATGATTTTTTTGTGTGGTTTTTGTGATGTTAATCGTGTGGTTTCGGATCAATCAATTAGCAAGTCTAGATAATGTTTGGTATTGGTACTCTCTTGGGATTACTGTGAGTATTACGAGCCCCTTTTCATATCAGTTGGCTCACCTATGGAATTGCAGTTTGAGTCGATTTTTCTTCTTCTAGTTCCATAACCGTTATCGATCGTTGGATATCATGTTGGCTACATATTCGCTTCTTCTTCTTCTTTACGTTCCATCTTCTATCGAAGGTTGGAAATAATCATGGCTATGCGGACTCTGTTGACTGCCGCTCTAAAAAGTTCTGCACTACTGTATTTAAACCATTCCCTTAAGTTCTTAAGCCAGGATATTTTTCGTCTTCCTAGATTTCGCTTTCCTCGGATTTTGCCTTGCATAATAAGTTGTAGTAATGCGTATTTTTGTCCTCTCATCACATGTCCCAAGTACTCAAGTTTTCGTCTTTTAATAGTTAATATTATTTCCGCCTCATTTTCCTATCCTTCTGGTTACTTCCATGTTTGACATTCTTTGAATCCATGATATTCATAGGATTCATAGACTCAAACCATAAAGAAGAGTAGAGAACACGTAACATCGAAGCTTTCTCAGGCGTAGTTCTAACCTTATATCCCGACAACAAAGAAACTTTTTAAGTTTAATAAATGATGTACGTGCTATTTCAATACGTGTCTTAATTTCTTTGGTTTGGTCTACATCTGATGTTATCTATGTTCCTAGTATTTATAGTTATTAACACTCTCAATTGCAGTATTTTCAATAGTCATATTCGCTATCGTGACTTTATTGACAGCAGCTCTAAATAACGATGTAGTTGATTTTCCATACCATTGCCTCAGATTTTTCAGCCATGATGTTCTTCTTCTAGCAGGACCACGATTACCGTGGTTTTTTCCCTGAATGATCAGATGTAAAAAATCATATTTTTTAGGATGTCTCATAATGTGACCGAAATATTCCAGCTTGGGATTCTTTATTATATTGACCAGTTGTGTTGTTTGGTTCAGCCGTCTAAAGACCTCCTCATTTCTAACCCTGTCGACGCAACTTCAGAAGTCGTCTGTATACCCACATCTCAAAGGCTATCAAGCGTTTAAGGATAGCCTCAGTTAGAGTCCACGCTTCCAATCCACACAGCAGGACAGAAAAAATGTAGCAAGGTGTCGTTCGAACTCTAAGGTAAATGCTAAGATCGTCACTGCAAAGTACGTTTCTCATTCGATTACGATAAACAAATTATACTCTGCCTGTTTTCCTATAATTACTATGACCTTTTTTATTCATATTTATTAAACATTACCTTTATAGTTTTTTATTTATTTTCAACAAAAAAAAATTCACTGAAGCTCATAAACATTTACTTCATCTAATTTATATAACGATACACGTCATTATCTACGTCAGAGATCGAAGTTGACATAGTTGCCAAAGTATAAAAAAATCCTGACTCCATTTTTTATCAAATAGGTCACATAATTATTGCAAAAGTATTATCATCTCTTTACAACGACTATTTAAATTCTTACGTGACATTTTTGAAATAAAACACACTAATTTTGTTCTAAAAAGAACAGATTTTATTAAATAGGTAAAAATATAAAACAAAAGTTATTAACTTTAAAATTCCAAATAATAAAGTACAAAAAGTGTCAAATAAATGTATGCAATCAATTTATGCCAAAATTTCACCTTCGTTCGATTATAGTTACAGTGTGTTCCGAACCAATGTTCTTCATCAAAACGCTTTATAATGCATTTATACAAATTAAATCAAACATATTATTGTGTATTTCTTTAAGCTAACATTAATAGAAATTTTTAAATATTATTTCTACGCGTTATAATAAAATATGTTTAGTGGCTGTAATGCCAGTGTACTCGGCAAAGTGATTCTATGGTCTGTTTTTTAACCAGGAGGAGTAATTCAAATTTTCCGCGCCGTAATGCTTGTTTGCAATTGGTCCAACCGCAGGCAAGTTTACTCCACTAAATTATGACATATTGATACTAATGACATTTTTGAAATTTATTTATTATTATTATTTTCCTAATATATAAATCGATTTCTGACTCTTTAAGTTGTTTGTAATAACTTGGACTTGGTGATATGCGAATAGTATTTTGCGAATAGTTTAAAGTGTTTCTAAATTTATAAATGTATGTTATTTATATCTAATTATCATAAGAAAAACGGCAATTATCTTTTAAATTTAGTGTATACTTGTTAAGAAGTATTTCCATTTTGTTTTCATCACAATAATAGAACATTAGTAAAGTAATGTGTTTTAGTTTGATTGTATGATACAGTTAGTTTTGTTCTTCCTGGTTGTAGATCATTACAAGAAAACTGCAAAATTATGCAAGAATGTGACATAATAGATTGGATTTGTTGATTATCTCACAGAAATCCAGTATTTTTGAGTCAATTGTATTTGTTGATAACAAATGGGACAAACTCACTGTCAAAATTAAACAAGAATCCAGCATTAAAGAAATTGTAAGTACACACTTATTTATACAAAGTATATGGTAAGAAAAAAAACTAGATTCAAGATATTGATCATATTAGAATAAGAATTAGAATAAGAAAACCATATTATGGTCTACTATTAAAAGACAAATTTCTGAGAAAAACCATACTTAGATTTGTAACATTATTGACTCCCGATTAAAATATTCTCTAAATTATAATTAAACACCATAGACTTAAGAGATCTATAAAACTGGATCACCCAATATTTAAATAATATATACATGTGACCAAATGTGAAAAACGTCCTGTTTTTATTGTAATATATATATATATATATATATATATATATATATATATATATATATATATATATATATATTTAACAAAATTTGGCTAAGAACTTACCTTTTTTAAAAGATTTTTTTGAGGATGAACCACAAATTGGTAAAATAAATTAGTTATTTTTTTAAAGATTAGTATTACTTGTTTTGAAAAGTGCGCATTACCGTAAGATAAAGTGTATATTACTTTCCAAAAATATTCCCTTTTTTTTCTAGATCTCTAGACGTATTCCAACATTCTTCTTCTTTAGGTACCGTCTCCTCTAAGGAGGTTGGTAATCATCACAGCTATTTTCATTTTTGAGATTGCAGCTCTGAACACGTCGATGGAACTGACATTATACCACTTTCTCTCAGATTCTTGAGCCAGGGGATGCGTCTTCTTTTTCGTTTTCCCAGTATTTTTCCATGCATTATGGTTTGTAGCAACACATATTTATCCCCTCTCATAACGTGGCCGAGCTATTGTAACTTTCCTATCTGAATCTTATTCATGATTTCCATTTCATTTGTTATCTTTCTAAGGACCTGAACATTTTATCTTCCTAGTTGATTGATTGATTGTGTAATGTAAACAGCAAGAAAATGAAGAATAGAAAAAATAAGGGCTAAGTAGCATAGAGAAGATAATAATTATTCAAAATAATTATTATATATTCCAAATTAAATAAAGAATAAATTCGATACAGTAACGTATACATGTTAATCTATACAAAGAAAAACAATTTGATCCAGTTAGTTGCATGACACGAACCAGTATCAGTTGCAACAATTGTTCAAAAAAAGAAAATATGCACGTTTTAGTAAACATAGACATACGCTGGAAAATATCACTAGCGCCGACCTGGTTAAAATCATGAGGACTCAGCAAAATAAACTAGGAATGTTCGCGGGACATAAAATCTAAAAAAATTGGTCAACCAGGCGATAGTATCGAGTGAGCGCTCAAGGCATTAATTGCCAGCTCCGTGGGCGCTCGGACGCGATAGAGTCCAGTACGCGGTCAGTCAGTATCTTCGGGCAGGGCTGTCAAGACGAGAGGCGACACCAGGTGCGGATTACGCGCAATTGTTATATTTCGACGGGATATAGTTCCGTATAAGTGTCGGGTACTGGGAGTTCGAAAATCGCGACAGAGCGCGGTATCTCCATTAAAAGAAATCCGATTTCCAGAGGAACTGAAGGGCTTATCATTAGCTAGAACCTAAATACGCGAAAGGTAACAAAATTCTATATACTAACCCGAGTAAATTATAGTAGTACAGATTGTCACCCCTTTACTTTCTTGCTAAGATCTCTTCTCGTCTCCCTTCGCACCGAATGAGCTATTATTGAATATATCTGACAGCTTGTTAACTTAATTGTAAACCACATAGTATATTCAATACATTGTAGACTCCAAATTTGGTTTTTATGTTCCTTACGGCCGATTCAGACAAAGACCAGAAGAGTACCAAATTTCTGCTTCTACATTTATCCGGCTTCTAAAGTAAACCCATAAACTCAAACTCTTTACAGGACCTGATACCTAGAAGTCCTTAAATCTGTTTTAGAACGTCCTTCGACGTTGTCCGATGCCTAACTTCCACGTCCTTCTATCATCCCATTGGCCGTCTCTAAGATCTCTTGTACTCATTGCTTTAGTTACCCCTTCTTTCCATGTCTTTTTGGGTCTTCCTCGTTTTTTGCGGTTTGGTGGTACCCACTGCATAATCTTCTTGGGTAGTCTTGTGTCTTCTATTCTTTGAACATGACCATACCAAATCAACTGTTTCCTCTCAATGTCTGTTGTTAAGTAACCATCTATTCCAATTCTTCGTATTTCTTCCTTATTTCGAACTCTTTCCCTGCGGGATATACCTAACGATCTTTTAAACACATCCATTTCTACAGCTTCTAATTTTTTATGTTGTTCTCGGTTATTCTTCAAGTTTCTGCTCCGTAAAGTCGACTGCTTTTAATTAGTGACTCATAGATGTTAGATTTTGTTAAATATATATTTGTAATAATTATTTTAAAACTCGTTTTGTTTCTCTAAAAAATTTATTCTTTACTGTTTTGACAATCTTCTTTAATTTTTATACAATCTTGTTGATATTTGTTAAAAATGTGTTCTTATATAAAAATCTAGATAATACATTAATCACCTTTATATACACTTCATTTTAATCTTATCAGAAGTCGAAACGTTTAAAATAGAGATTTAATTACTGTAAGTACTTAACATGCAAGTTGCCTATAGTGAAATCTAATCAGCAATATAGCCCTTGTTGCACGAATGGCTAATTTTGTTCTAAACTTTAGATCGTAGCAGTGGCTACTAACCACACACCACGTCACACCATGACATTCCGGAGTTCCCGGTAGACTCACACACGCAACAACCGTATAAGCAAATAGCCGCACTAAGCTATGTACGTAATTTGTGGCAGTCAGGTGGTCTGACCTTACCAGTGCAGCCACTTTCAGTCCCTTCGAGACTATTCGCCGGTGATGCAATCAGCGATGGTGCACTGGGAGAGATCATATAACTAATGAAGTATTATACAGATTAGGGTCGTTAACGTACCTTTAATTAAATTCGTTTATACAAACTGTATAAAAATAAGTATATATATCATTGAAAAGAATAACTAGTTTGCGTCCGTCTAATTAAATCTGTGAGATTTTGATTTATAAGCAAAATTTTTTAAAATGCCACTGAATTAAGAACCTAATTTATAAATAATTTCAACCAACATCTTAACAAATTTATTATAACCAGCAATCGAAAAATAGCTTTTAGACTATTTTAAATCATCATCATCATTGATACTACAGAAATAAATGAATCGTTAAAAACCAGAACGGACTATCCCAAAAAATTGTAAAATTTTAGATGAGTTTGTTTTTAAACTCAACATTTCCTCCTCCTCAATCCTTTAGCCCTTGTCAGGGCGTAGTGACACCCTAAATATTGTTAGTCTGCTGTCTCCATTGACTGCGATCTTGTGTGATATGGACAGCTTCATGTAGGGATTTTCCCACCAAACTCTTCATTTGGTCTACCCATCGTATTGGAGATCTTCCTCTTGGTCTTCGGCCTTCTAGCTTTCCTTCTACTACCAATAGCTCCATGGTGCCCGTTCTTCTAGCTATGTGGCCGAAGTAAGTTAGGTATGCTTGGTTTACTTTTTTTAGTAGCCTGTCTTTTATATGAAGCTCTTCCAGAATTGACAGGTTGGTTCTATGTTCTGTCCAGGACACGCATAGAATTCTTCTATATACCCACATTTCGAAGGCTTCGATCATACTCCTATCGATTTTTTTGAGAGTCCATGTTTCAGCTGCATATGTAGCAATGGGAAAAATAAGGGCATTGACCAACCTGAGCTGAGAACAATCACCATTGTTGGTTATCAGAGAGCCCAAGTATACAAATCTGTCGACTACTTCGAAAATCCCTATTTGGCGTATATGCGGTAGATTATTATTTGCTCTGTCTACAATCTTTTTTTTTTTTGTTTTTCCGGTGTTGATATGAAGTCCGAATTCTTCACTTATTCTGCTTAGCGGTTCGATAATGGTAATCATTTCGACTTCATTCGCTGCTAGTATAAGTGTGTCATCTGCGTCTCGCAGGTTACTGATTTTTCTGCCTCCTATAGTGATTCCTCCATCCCATTCATCTAGTACTTTTCTCATTAGATATTCAGAATATATGTTGTACAATAATGGTGATAGTATGCAACCTTGTCTAGTTCCTTTCTCTGTTTTGAATGCATTTGAATATATTCCATGTACTTTAACTTTGGCTGAGTTTTTATTATACAGATTTCTTATTAGGTTAACTAGGTGGTTAGGTACTCCCATATTTTCCATTATACTTCAGAGAGGATCCCATTTTACTGAATCAAAAGCCTTTGTGTAATCTACAAAACAGAGCAACATTGGTATGTTACGTTCTCTCGCTTTTTCTACTATCTGTCTGGTGTTGAGTATTTGCTCAAGCGTTCCCTTTCCTGGTACAAATCCACATTGTTCTTCGGCTATCTCTGGAAGTAGAAAGTTCTTTAGCCGTTCATTGATTATATGTAGCAGGATTTTGCTTGCATGAGGGATAAGGGCAACGGTTCTGTAATTGCTGCATATAGTTAGTGATCCTTTTTTATGGATAGGGATCAAGGTTGATTCACACCACTCATCAGGCCATTCACCTGTGATCCATATCATTTTGCACATATCCAGCATTACATCTACGCCAATTTCGCCTATTGCTTTTAGAGTCTCCGCTGTTATGCCATCGATTCCTCGAGTTTTTTTGTTTCTTAGTTGGTTAAGAGCCTTCTCTACTTCTGCTCGTAAAATGATTGGTTCAGCCTCTCTGATTGCATGTTTTTTGTGTTCTGAGACTGATGCGTTATCTTTTGAAGTGTCTTTGTATAATTCTGAGCAGTAATTTTTCCAGGTCTCTGCGATGCTCTCTATGTCGGTTTTTACTTCTCCATTAGAGTCTTGAATGGCTTGAAGTTGTGGCTTTGACTGGACTATATGGCATTGTCCGCTTTGGTTTCTGGGAATACTAGTTTAACCTTTAAATTGTTAGTGACTTATTAACACATGATAGTACTATTTTCTGATATTAAAAGTGTTTTTTACTCAGTACAGCCTAAAAAAGCGTCTAAAATGGCGTCTAAAGCGTCTAAATTTTTTTTAAATACGTTTTTTTCCATAGCGAACCCCCAGAGGCACCTAGGGACTTAAAACTTTAACTGAGTGAGTTTTTAATTATGTCCTTTCGAATGGCCAAGCCCAAAACTGTATCGAGCATGGTGCAATTTTGACCATCTTATCCCGCTATAGCCTTTGTATACTTTTGTATTTTCTTACGGAACTAACAATAAAGCTATTCCATAGTTATATCTATTTTTAATAGGACTATTCTACATGCATGGAAGATTTTTTAAATACCAAAGCAGATCAATCCACATTATTTTTGTAAATTCCAAAAAAAAAAACACATTTTCTTAGACAATCCATTACAAAACACCCACTACTATTGCCAGTGCTTCATAATAAAAAATTTAACACTTTTATGTAAGCCACAAAAAAATCTTTAAATACCAGTTTTTGTTATTCTCAGTTTTCTCCATTTAATGTTTCAACAGGATGGTCCGCACTGGTTCTTAACGCCTCAAATGAGCCTTGACTTTCTAAAGCTGATTAATATATTAAGCTATTAGTGAATAGAAAATTGAAAAAGACTGTAAGACTTGTACACACTTGTAATTTTGACTTGTACTTGTAGACCTATTAGTGAATAGACTAATACGTTTTTATATACATTTATGACAAATGAAAAATTTAAAAAATATATGTTTTTGTGTGTAAATGTGTAAAAGTGTGAAAATTTTAAACATTGAGATATTTCTCGATGTTTTATTATATTATATATATATATATATATATATATATATATATATATATATATAATATATATATATATATATAAATTATATTGTAAAAACATAACAAACAAAATCTAGCTCTATAATACATAAATTTGGTCATTTTATAATACGTTAAAGTAGTTTACTGTTTAAACTTTTTATACCTTTTTATTCATTTAATTTATTTTAAAATAAACCACAGACATGTAATATTGGCATAATTATTATAATTTATAACATCTAATTTGTTTATCTTTATGAGACAACACCCTAATATGGGTTTTTATCATTTCAGCATTTATTTAACTTTGTATCGAGACCTGAAGATGCTTTGCATATTGTAGAAAGCGAAACCGGTCGTCTGAATAGTTAAATTAAGTTGATTGTGAGTAAGTCTTATTTATTATTTCTTTACCTATTTGAAATGGACTCACACAAGCAACATATTCATGATTTAAAAAAAAAAAGTGTCGGTTTTTGTTAACGTAAGCTTTGTAGGGATTCGTAAAGTAAATAGTGCACAATAAAAAGTAAATTCAGTGATAAGTGATAGCAGTTGTAAGTACTCAAATAATAGTATCCGACATCGTAAATAAAAATTATATAGGCAAATATATTATTTCAATTGGTTTGAATGTTCACATTGTTCAGTCAAGAAAAAGAAAAACAAATGGAGACAAGATACAGAAAAAAACAAAAGAAAACAAAATATTGTTATAGCGAGGAAGAAATGGGAAATGTAGACGAAGAAAATGGTATTGCAGAAACAAGAACCTAGGGAAGTAGCACAGAAATGTCAACAATGAATAGGATATTAAAATGATATCAATACAAAAAGAAAAAAGTAAAAGACAAGCAGAAGGAATAGAAAGACGTATAGACGAAAAGAGTGAACGACAAGGTCTAGATTTTAAAAAAATATAACTGAGACTAGAACAGCATAAAATGGAGATACAAATGTATTTACAACAGGTGAAACATGAAGTAGGGCATGAGAATCTTTATCAATTTGACCCAGCCCATAAAAAAACGTTTTGATTCATTAATAATTAAAAAGAAATATAAGTATAATTTTTTAAATATCTACATTAATATATATGTAGTATATTCTATATATATTTTACGATATTTATATGTCCAAAATATATTAAAATAGAGTATCTCAAAACATGATTCTTCGCCTTAATCACTCATTTTCCGTTACGCCTATGAACATGCTCAAAAACTTTGAAACGTCCTTTGGTTGTGCTGCAATTTACACACTCATTGTCACCAAGTTCTCCAGAGACCACTTCACTCAGACGCATACGGGAGGTTGGTTGTAGTTCTCAACAAATGGATATTGAAATGCCGACAATAAGAAATAAACTGTTGATCAACGAAATAAAAGCAATTTTTTCGCATATTAAAGACATAATGTATATAATAAAGTGGTGTTTGAAGCAGGTTATCGTTTTATTGTATGGAACAAAGAAACAAGATGAAATAGTTAAAAGGAAAACATTTTATATTAAAGAGGAATCTTATAAGTTGGGAAGACCAAAAATAAATAACCAAAAAAGGATTAATAAACAATTGATCGTAATTAAGATAATGTTTTTTACCTACAAAAATTTGACGTTTGGACATCCACTTTGTAAACCAAACATTGAAAATTGGTCCCGATATTATCGGCATCAGTAATTCCATGGCTGAAAACATGTGAGTTGCATTTTGTATACTGTATGCATATCGTATCAATAACTGTATCGTCTGCATAGCTGATTGTATTTATCAGAATTCCATTAACTTTCACGCCCCATTCCAAATTATGCAGCGCTTCTTTAAATATTCTGAATATAAATTAAATAACAGTGGGGATAGTATACAAAGAGGTGTCAGACAGGGATGG